AAAAAAAAGAGGCCACAAAAAAACGAAACATAACCTCCAAATCCAAAGTATTCAATTTATGGGTGATTACAGCCAAAAAACTTCTTGAAATACCTAAAAACATAAAGCTTATAATGAATTACATCAGATTCAAGTGATTTTAATCAGTTTAAAACCGAAATGTTGAAAATTAAAAATGTGAAGATTTTGAAAGAAACGGAATATAAATTTTGGAATTAAAGAAGAATTAATGTGAAAAATTGTGTCAAAGGGGAATGAAATAATTCAGAGTATTCAGACATTGAAGGATTTCAATAAATATAGTTTATTTAAAAAGTAATTTTTGAAAATTTGAAAGAAAAACCAAATGTCAATAAGAGATGGCGCTCAGAAATACATATTTTTTACACTTTTTCTTGTAGTATCAAAGAGGGTGATGGACAAAAAAGAGAAGTTTTTGCCGATTTTTGCCGAAAAAAGGGTGAAAAATGAATAACGAGGACGCATCTTTGAGTAAACATCTATTTCGAAACGCTCGTGAAATCCTACGAAGATAAATTTCTGAAGAAAAAACATAACCAAAGAAATTCACAATTGAGGGAGATGAAAAGAAGCTAAAATTAATTAAGAAGAGTACGATAACCAACCTGGGAAAGAAGACATCGGAATTTTTTTTGGAAAGCCACCAAGGGGGTACCAGCACATTCCACCAAGGGGGAAAAAGGAGCAGTTCAAACCAGGGAGGAATCAAGATTTCAATCAATTCCACCAACATCTGTAAAACCAAAGAAGTTAAGATTTTTTTTTATTTTCGATATACCATTTCTAAAAAAATAACTCACTTACCTCGTGTGTAATCCAGAGCGAATCAAAATCAATTATTTCAGATCACTTTGATTATTTCAATTATCAGAATGAATTTATTTAAGAAGTTTTAGAGCTGAAAGTTATAGATTAACTTAAATGGTTTTTTTAAAAACATGAGCAACTGTGTTTCGACAAACGAATACACAAATTATCACAATATTTATTTCGTTTAGTTAAAATTTAAGAATTGGTGGAGGAGCTTACATATTTAACATTTTGTATTATTACCTGAGTGGATCCTTTATGTGAATGTATCTGTCGAGTGAAATGGCACACAAGTTGAGAATACTAGCGGTTGAGCACATGACATCAAAAGCTACCCAAGTATCACAAAATTGGGCGCCGAATATCCAATAACCTAGGAGGTCGTTGACACCGGCGAACGTCATTACGAGTGATGCGACAAAGAGGTCTGCAATGGCGAGTGACGCCAAGAATAGGTTACCTATTCGCCGCAAACCTCTGTCCGTGTAAATGGCCACACAAACGAGGATGTTTCCGGCTACCGACAGGAAGATCAGTAGCGACAGGAATACACCTGAAATATAAAAATAAAAAAACGANTTTTAAAAACATGAGCAACTGTGTTTCGACAAACGAATACACAAATTATCACAAAATTTATTTCGTTTAGTTAAAATTTAAGAATTGGTGGAGGAGCTTACATATTTAACATTTTGTATTATTACCTGAGTGGATCCTTTATGTGAATGTATCTGTCGAGTGAAATGGCACACAAGTTGAGAATACTAGCGGTTGAGCACATGACATCAAAAGCTACCCAAGTATCACAAAATTGGGCGCCGAATATCCAATAACCTAGGAGGTCGTTGACACCGGCGAACGTCATTACGAGTGATGCGACAAAGAGGTCTGCAATGGCGAGTGACGCCAAGAATAGGTTACCTATTCGCCGCAAACCTCTGTCCGTGTAAATGGCCACACAAACGAGGATGTTTCCGGCTACCGACAGGAAGATCAGTAGCGACAGGAATACACCTGAAATATAAAAATAAAAAAACGATTTATTTGGTCCTATATGTATTTACCACTGCCTCGATTTATGATCATATCGAGAAGTTAAAATTATTATTATAGTAATTTTGAAGGTTATGTTAGGATATGTTAGGGTTTTTTTTTGTAAATACTAAACTTATTTATTACTTACAACGTTAATATGGTTGGGGAGGAATTGGAACTTTAATTTAACTTTACATTACTAATAACATCAAGGGAACGATGTTCATTTTATTGGGACGAGATTTGAGGTTATGGACGTATCATGCAACGGTAACGTTCGTGAAGGTACAAGATTATGTCTATAAATAGACATGAGTTTAAATTTAGTTTTATGGAAGGTAAGTGGATAAAGGGAAATATGGATAAAGGGTAGAATTTGGATATGGGGATGTCCGCTGGGTTTCCAGTTATTGCAGCTTCATCATTGCGGGCGAAATGATGAAACTCTCGTGTAACTGGGAAGATTTAGGGAACTTTAAACGGAAAGTTTAGGTTTTTGTATAAAGGTCTTTGTTTAAGTTGTGTCTTGTCGTTAAGGTTCTCTAGGTGATTATTCTTGTATTTCATTCTTTCAATTTCGTATGTTTCGTATATAAGCATTTTTTGGCTTTTTGTCATATTATGTAATAGTTTGATGTTGTTTTCTTTGTTAAATTCATGTTTGTTTTCTTCCAAAATTTGAATCTGTGTTTCGTAGGTGTTCTTTCATTCAAGTTCGTATATTTCTTCCAGTTTCTCCCACATAAAAGGCTCCACATGTATTACAGCCCAAAACGGTATACACCGTTTTTATCTAATGTTTCGATGTTTCCTTTTGTGTTGTTTAGTATGTTTTTTATGTTATTATGTGATTTAAAGGCAACCTTTATATTATTTTTATTGAATATTTTACTGATTTTGTGCGCTATTTTTCCACAGTATGGTAGTGATCGAAATTGAGTGTTTTGTTTGTCTTGAGTTTTTTAGATATTGTTTTATTCTATAGTTTTTGATCATCTTATCTATGTGTTGTGATGGGTATCCATTGTTGTTTGCTATGTTTTTTATTATTTTAATTTCCTTGTTTAAGTTTTCCTCGTTGAGATGTGTTGAAAATGCTCTGTGAATGTATGTATGGAACGCTGCGTTTTTATGTGTATGATGGTGGAAGGAGTCATGAGGTACAATTATGTCAGTCTGGGTTGGTTTTCTGTATATATTAAATGATATTTCACCTTGTTCATTCTGAAGTGTTATATCTAAGAAGTTTATTTTTTTGTTCTTTTCAATTTCTAGGGTGAATTTAATATTCTTATGTATTTTGGTAATATCCTCTTTAAATAATTCTATTTCTCTTTCTTCAGATCCGTTCCATATGAGGAGTATGTCGTCTAATTGTAAGTAGCGACGCCAGAGAATTATGTTTGTATATGTTGAAGATCTTAGTATATTGGTTTCAAATTTGTTCATGAATATATCTGCCAGCAGACCACTCAATGGAGATCCCATGGGCACTCCTTCGTTGAATTTATACATCTTTTCATTAAATTTAAAGAAATTTTGTTGTAAGCATGCTTTAATTAATTTAATAATTGCTTCTTTATTATTGTATGAAATTTGTGATTTAATTATATTGTCTAAGATTTTGATGGTTTCTTCTGTTGGAATATTCGTGTATAAATTTGTGACGTCCAGAGAAGCCATTAAAAAATCTTTTGACAGCTTAGTGTCCTGGATCGTGTTAATTAGTTCTTCTCTATTTTTAAAGGTATATTTGTTTTCAAATTTAATGTTATCGTTAATAAATTTAATAATGAATTTACTTATCTTGTATGTAGAGGAGCTGATAGATGTTATGATTGGTCGTATAGGATGTTCTGTTTTGTGTAGTTTTATTAGTGAGTATAAAATAGGTGTTCTTGGATTCATAGGAGTCAAATAAAATGTATTGATATTGTTCACGGTAAAAAATTTTTCTAGTTCTCTAATTAATTTTCTTGTCTCCATTTGAAATTGTTTTGTCTGATTATTCTTTATTTCTGCAAAGTTGTTGTCTTTAAAAAAATTTAATGTTTTCTTGATGTATGATTCTTTGTCTATGATAACCAGGCCCGCATTTTTGTCGCCTCCTGTTATTATTAAATTATTGTTGTTAATTTTTCTTTTGATCTTTTTTATGATTCTGGTTGTGTTGTTGTTGTTATTCTTTTTATTTTCTTTGTTCATGTGTGTTATTCTTCGTTTTTCTTCTCGTCTCAGTATATCAATTGTTTCTTTTCTTATGTTTTGGAGTATCATTTTTCAAGATTAT